TTTCCGTCCTTCCAGCCCGTCCAGGGTTCCTGGACGAGGACCACATCTATCTGAGCCTCCCAGCAGAGCTGCAGGAAAGCCGTGTGCGCCGGGGAGATCTTTCCGACGTTGCCCTGCGCAACGCGTAGCATCCGTGGGGTCGCCGCTCTCGGCTTACGTCTCCGAGTCGAGTTCGAGGTGGGTGTAGGCATTCGCGACGTTGTAGTTTGGCTTCTGTGCTGCCCGTTGGCTCCTGCTTGGCATGGGTAGCACGGGACGGTCGATGGAGGTGTTGTCGGGGGAGTCTTCGCCTTCGCCTTCGTCCGCCTCGTCTTCATCCATGCTGCTGCTGTCAGTGCTTCCGTCACCGAGGCAAACGATCGAGCTTGCGGAGGGCGTTCTCGTGCGCGCGCGCTTGGCGCCGGGTTGCTGGTTCTGGCTGGTGGAGGTAGGGACGCCTGCCGCCTCCTGGCTACTGTCGGATCGAGTAGCCTTGTACAGAGTGTCCGATGCTTTCTGGCCGGCCTTCCGGATCCGAGCCCGCTCCTTTCGACCGGGAAGGGAGACGACGCCGTTTACGGCCGAGGGCCTCGCTGGGCAGTCTGTGTGGCTGGCTTGGAAGGGGCCGCAGCAGTTGGCACATTGGGGCCTGGCCATGCAGGGTCCCGTTTCGTGTGAATCGGAAGGTCTTCCGCAGTTGCTGCAGATCGGTCGTCGTCCGCAGAACCGGTTGGAGTGGTAGCCCTGGCAGCCGGGGTCGTGTCGGATGAGCGTCCTTCGTTTCTTGACGGGCAGAGATCTGCCGCTTTGGTTGAAGAGCCTGAAGGGCGTGACCTCTGATGTGAATGATATGAGCCAAGATATTTCGTTCGTGACTGGGTTGGGCCCAAGGCGGGACGGTCGAGCAAGGACAGGCTTCTGTCCTGTCTGTGCGAAGACCTCATCTTCAACGAGTGTGGCTGGGTCCAGGACGTCCCCGCCAATGCTGTGTAGTTTTGTTGGGCATCGCGGCACAACGTAAGTGTACCACTTGATAGGCGTCTCGACCTGGTGGGCGCCGAGGCATTCCGCCAGCTTTGCCTTACTTGCAAGTAGTCTTTCCTGTATTTGCTTGTTTCGCGGCTTCAGAGAGTAACCTGTGCTGATATGGTAGACGTGGGGAAGGTCCGCTAGCCCCAGGCCAACGGCCTTACAGACGATCTGTCGTACGGCGAACGGTGCGATCTTCCGAGCGGCCGCTAAGCTTTCTTCCGGGACGCGGGCAAAGATGCGGAGGTCCTCCTTCGGCTGCGCCTGCGGCTGATCCTCGGCGGGGAGTGTGGCCTTCGGGCGGGCAGAGCTCTGGCAGCTCTGGCCGCTCCGGGTCGCCGCAGTGGTGTTGCCCGCCATCGGTGCGACGACAGCCGCCCAACTCCGGGCCGCTATTGGGCTTGTCTCGTGATTGATCAGTCTCTTGAGGGTTTGAATGACATAGGCAGTGGCTTCTTTCGCGATCTGCTTTCTAGAACCGTCAAAGCTGGCGACAACGCTGTCGACGGACCGTGCAATGGTCAGAAAGACGTCTTTCCGTGCCTCGTACTGTCTAGCTTCTTCTGCAAGGGCTGTCAAGACGGACCCTGTGGCAGATCCGCTCGGAGCAGATGCGGTAGAGGCTGCGGGCCCCTCGGCCGAGGTAGGGGCGTCGGTGGTGGCATCAAGCTGGCTTCCCGTTAGGCTGGGCCGGGTCGGCTGTGCCTCGGCGTCGCGGCGTCGCTTAGCTCTTGAGGTGGGGTTCGGCTCCGGAGGTGTCCCGGAGCCTGATTCGGGGTCGGCTTGGTCGGCCGACATCAGTCCGGTGCCCGACGGCGGCTGTGAGGCCATCGCGGATGCGGGCTCCGGCAAGGGGAGGTGAAGAGTTTTCGGCTGTTAGTAATTTGGTGGTAGGCTCACTCATTCACTAACAGCAGATGCCAAGAAAAATTAGGCGAGAGGGAAGTTGTGCTCATACCTCTGGTTAAGCATAAGTCAGGTCGCTCGAGGTGAAATAATTATCGTAGCGAATGTGCTGGGGCAGTCTGACACCGAGCATGCACTTTCTTGAGTACGCGCTTATGAGTTTCGAATACTGCACTCTTTAACAAAGTATGAATTATAACAACTACCCAAGACTTTGCGCAAATCATTGAAAATTACTTCCCAGACAACTAAACCGCTTTCGAAAGTCAGCTTTCTGTGTAAGTAGTGCAAAACGTCATGCCCAAGCCTTCCGACTCTCCTCGTATGCTGGCAAAGCCCACCTCTTCATCCAAGCCATGTTTAACACATCCGCTGCATTTGGCCGCTCTCTAGGCCTCCATGCGAGCATCCAGTGTAGCAGCTCAAACAGCGCGGCCTTCTCCTCTTCATCAATAACACTCATACCACAAGACTGTCTCGGCTCTTGTGCCCATTGCTCGAACCGCCTATCCCACGTCCATATGTCGCGCTTATTGCTGAGCGGTCTCCATGCTTCGTCGAACCATTCGAACCGCTGTTCCCAGTTATCCCACCACTCCGACGGCAGAGGTCCTTGTAAGTGGACCTGCTGCGCCGTGATTTCGTCCTGAGGCGTAAGAATTCCGTCGATAAGAGACCTGTGAGCAAGTAACTCGAAGATAGTACAACCGAGGCTCCATATATCCGACGCAAAGGAGAGAGGCGTCGTCGGTTCAAAGAACGCCTCGGGCGGACGGATTACGAGGGGTGTATACGATTTGAACCGCGACTTATTTGACGGACGAAAGGCGACACCGAAGTCGCTAAGTAATAGCTTTGCCTCCTTTATGGTGATTTTATCACTTGCTTTTCCAAGCCACACAGTAGGGACGGCGTATGAAGGAACCCCAGCTGCTGAAGAGGTTGAGTTTTTGTCAAGACGGACGACAGGCTCTGGCTCTGGAGCTCCAAACTTAGCATACAACTGATCCACCGAGAGATCATTGAGAGAAGGAGGCAGCTGAAGAAGAAGGTTGCCAAGATGAAGGTCTAGGGGAGGAAGTTGTCGTTATCAGAGAGGTGGCAATGAGGAGGAGAACCACGTACCTCCATGTGCATAACCCTGCGAGTGAACAAGAGAAATGGCTATGGCAAGCTGGGCAGCTAGAGACCGAGCAACACCAAGCTTAAATAGTCTCGGGTCTGACGCTTCTTTCGCATCCATAAGACTGCATCTCGCCGGGACTGTTACAAAACAAGGATGAGTCCCATTGGGGCCATCAAGACTAAAGCGATCGAGGACTGTAGGGATCATCGACGCCTTGTGTGCGGCGTGGCTGCGGTCCACGACTCCTGTAGTAAGCTGAGATAGAATATCTATCTCTCGCGTGTCTGCATCTGCGGTGCCAACTTTAACGGCGACGTAATTTGACGTCCTTTCGTCAAGAGCAAGCCAGACCGTTGAGAACGTGCCGTGGCCAAGCTTGTGTACTATGCGGTATCGCTTGTGAAGACGATCGTCGATTTGAATGGGATGATAACCACCCGGCCGATAGTTGTTGAGTCTTTCCACGTCTTCGATATACCCATACTCAAATTCTGAGGCTGACATCGTCGAGTAGGGCACAGTTGAGAAGATGCAAGATTTTCGCGTTGGAGACGGAGAACTTGATTGACACGGTCGTCGCGGAAACACGCGTCGCAGTAGGGTCTGCCGGGAGTACCAGCGTTTCATCTGTGGCCTCGTGTGCAGGCTGGAAGAAGAGATAGTGCTGATGAGATGATTGCATGGAAGAGTATAAAATCTTGTAGACATAGTAGATGGGGGAGGAGCCTAGGTAGGGAGTAGTTCACGTAGCTGATGGCGGCGATGTTAGACTTGTCGGTGGGTGGTGCTTCTTTTGTTTGAGTGATATTGCTGAGCACAGTAGTAGGCGCTAAAGAGGTTCGGTTTCCGACGCAACCACTAACTGGCCCGCCCCTAGGTTGTGGGTCAGACGCCCCGAAGCGCCGCCCCTTCGGTCCCACCATGACCAGCTACCCCAAGTCGCTCCAATGACTGACTTCCAGGAGCCGCGGCCAGCAATGTGCTTGACAACAGAAGGTTGGCGGACGATCTATCAAAATAAAACGCCTTCACCATAAGCGCCTCGAAACTTTCTCGGTGCTGGCCGCCAACAAACTGTTAGTCGCGGTATTGAGTGGTCTAATTCCCCTGATGCCAGTTCATAACGATCTTATAAAGGATAGTGAAAACGCCCGAAGCAACACGACGGCTGTCATATATCATCACACCAACTTGTGCCAGTCTACCAGAATACATTCCCTCCATCAAAGGCTTACATCGTAGTATTGTCATCTTGCATTATGTCTACCATCAATATCGTTAAATATTACTTCCACAAGGCCAACGTACCCGGAACGGAAGCAAGAATGCGTCAACTAATTGCGTTGGCATATCAGACAGCAAGAGACAAGGAGCTCTATCCTCAGGCGGTACTTGTCCGGTACGTTATGCACTTCTTGAGTTGTTATGTTTGAGCTCACAGAAAAGTAAATGAACTCTCAGTCAGACTAACAGTGACTGGCCGAAACAAAAGCGAGGTTCACCTCACGACCACTATCAACGGCAGACGGCAGACGGCACAAGGATCCTCGAGGAGCCCATGTGACCTTTAGTTACAAAAGCCAAGATCATCTTGGTCGCGAAACTCATGTTGCCTGCCATGGCTATGTCAAAGACCCGGAGAGTCTGGAATTCAAAGAGGCAACTCACGCAGACGAGAAGCCCGATTCAACGAAAAAACAGTCGGGGAAAGCGGTCTGGCCAGGCGCGGCCCAGCTCTGGGAAGCTCCGGAAGTGGGCTATGGGCACATGCCCGAGAAATAATGGCCCGTTATTACCTTCTTGTACACAGGCATAGAGAAAGACTTTCCAAAGTTTACGTGAGAGGCTGGTATCTTTCGGACGCTATTCAGTGTACTTTGGGAACTAGAATATATGTCCGTTAGGCAATGTACTACCCATCATGTATCTCTGTGACAAATTGACACTTTAGCCATTAGTAATGTATAGCGAGTTTTGGGTAAGTTGGTTTTATTTTAGTTCATGGATCTGTATCCTCAATGAATGATTAGGGGCGTATAGCATCTGTCCATATAGCTATTGGACGACCACCTATCCAATGATAGCGTAAGCTGATGTCATTTCATTTCTGAGTGAGCATATGATGACATATAAGCAATACACTGTCGGTTTAGTTTATAGACTTAGCTCGGTAGTCCTCTTGACCGCAGTAGTCTATTGTTAGAATTTAAAGTGGCTTTGCGTGCCTTAGCGCTTGGGGTCGGGTCGCGCAAGGATTGTCTCTGTAGACCAGTGATGCGTAGTACATCGTCCCCAACCACGATCACAGGCTCCACCGTGTCCCCCATCGTCAGTCGCATCGTGTCGCACCGTACCTAAGTCGACTGGCGGCTTGTTTTAGGCTAATTGATTGAGCCTAAGGCAGCCTCTCCAGTAGTTACTGCAGAGCCTGCACCGGAACCTGTATAGGGTAAGCTAGTGTAAGCAGCAGTTGGACTAGCTGATTTGCCACCGGTCAAGGAAACGAAGAAAATCATGTAATTATCACCGTTGATAAGGGCGTAATGGTTGCAAGAGCATTGACAGTCAGGCTCAATGTGAGCGGTGGATCGAGACTTTTGCAATCTTTGACAATTCTCGATTACAGTAAGGGATGGAGAACGACATTCTCTTCTGTGAGCAGTGTGACGTGTATCAGTCGCCGTCGTTCGTGACCAGGGCTGGCAGGGAAAGGAAAGAGAGGGTAATTAGAAAACGATTTTAGCACATTAACCTATCCACTACAAGCTCAAGCCTGCTGTTTGTTCGGAATAATTCAGCGGGGGCTTACACTGAAGGCTTCACTAGACCACTTGTTCCACTCTGTGTGCTACTATCCATGTAGCACACGGAGTAGCCAGCAGTGGGTGCTAGCAGGCCGTGACTAGACGCTCGCGATGCAGCACTCAAGATTGGCCAAACTGGCAACTTGGACAGCTTCATCCAATTCGTGTGTGGTGTAGTCTTCGGTTGGAAGGACAGCGAGAAGGGGGAACCGATGGCGCGGGCCGGCTCTACAGACGATGCCGGTCTTTTTGATAACGAAGCTAATGTCCGAGGCAATAGCGACACGGAAGGCGATACGCAAGCGGACGCGCTTGATGACGGAGGCGATCCGTGGCAGTATGAAAACACATTTCCTCCCGAACTATGCTCGTCACCCGGCCGGGACGAGCAGCTGGACGATGTGTGGAACTATACCTCGCGAAGAGTGACTGAATGCCACAACATAGAGCAAACACCTTTGGAGCACCGAGTGCCGTCATCATCAACAGACGCATATCCCAAGGTCTCACAAATAAGAGAAGGAGAAGAGAACGAGAAAGAGAGGAAGGTGGAACGACCATACGAACTGCCAAGCACGTCATCAGAGTCACCAGCAAACCACGGGTCGTCGTCCCAACCACGGTGTCTGTCGCCACGGCCGACAGACGTTACGTCAACCAACACCGCTTCACCGCCGCCCTCGACAGCATCTCAGTCGGTCACGAGCCCCCATCCGTCACAGGCTATATCGGATTACACGACTCGTTCATCATCTGAGCTCTCCGGCGCCCAAGCAGAGGACAAATCGTGCTCTTCGACCAAGCTGGGTTCGCCTACTGGCCCAGGGCTTAGCGAAGAGCCGGCTGGGGATACGCAAAGGGGTGGCTTGGCGGCAGGCACTGGCTCAACTAGGAAGAGGTCGTTCTTTCACGAGAGTTACGAGGAGGATGTGGACGAGGGACATAAGCGCCGGAAGCGGAGAATCTCAAGCGTAGATCTCGGTTAGGTCATAACTTACGGTCTCTCCCGCCGGTTACGTGTGGGACTGAATATGTTCAAGGATTATTATCTCGACTGGAGCCACAGAATACATGGATGAATTTATAAGGATGCAGGACGACGGCTATATGGAGAGAATGAGTGTTTGTGTTCAGCATTGCGGCCATTTTGTGGTACTATAGAAATCGAAACTTGATGTATCGTACCGAGGACTTGACGTACAGATCAAGCACAGAAGGGCGGTCATAGCATCGCTAACCCACACACGCCCTCGAGCAACTAATAGGAGAATTAGTATTAGCCTAACATCACCTAGACGGCATGTTAATAAGCTCATGAGAAACAGTAGACAAGGGCATGAGGCTGCGTAGACCTGACAGTGTTGGGTGAGTTTACTTCCGCTTATCCCAGGGCCGACGCCGGTGGACAGCCTGGGATTGCCCGCTATGCCGGGAAAAGAAACGGTTTTGATGAAGATCTCGGTTGTGATCAACGATGCGGGACAATCCTGGTGAAGGGAACTGTACTGCGTAATCTGTTTGTAGTGATTACCCCGTGCAAGTAGCGTAGTTGCTGCAGAAGTACATGCAACAATGCTGCAATGGCCATTACCATTACATTGCTGTTGCCATTGAATCGATAAGCCAGAAAATCGGGGCCGCGATTCCCCGAAACCCTGAAGTTGTGAAGAGGGAGATGATGCAACATGGAGGGGGAAGAGCGCTTAGCTAGCGCATCTCGGGCAAAGAAACAGCTCTGGGGAGGGATCAGCTACGATATGCGGCAAGCTGATCACAACCGCCCTGTGCTGCGTCGTAGCCGGGGTATGCCATGCAGGAATACTCACATCAGTTAGGAGGAGCGATCCAGGTGTCTGTTGTGACAGTGTGACTTGGCACTGCTTCATTGCTTGGCAAGTTAGCCTCTCGTCTTCCGGCCAGCTCGACCTAGCCTTTGAATGTTTGCGTTCTAGCCTTGACGGTTGAGTGCTTGTATGGTGACAGCATCAGTCAAGCATAAGAATGATACTTACCAGGACTTTCATATTGAGATGGCTCTAAACCTCTGGCGAAGACTGCTGTGAGATAATTCTTCGAACTCGACCTTCGGCACGAGATGCGAACCGAAGTGTCAGGACGCAATCCAATACCATAAGTTAGTACCAGCTATAATGCGAAATGCAGGACAAACATCCAAAATGTGAGCAACAACTCATTGCCCTGACTCAGAGGATCACAATCGTGTCCCTTTAGCGTATTCCCATCGTTAGCGTGGGCCGTAGTGAAAGCGTAGTAGGTCGGTAAGGTCATAGAGTTTAGCGTGGTGACCAATCACAAAGAAATCGCTATGTGCAGGTGGCTGTACTTGTTCGATCGTAGTGTCCAATAGAGTATATAGTATTGAGTCTACAAATTGCATCCATTTGTGAGCGTGAGGTCGTTGCAGAGCAACTTCCGTTCCCAAGTCTTCTCGGCTTCGGAAATCGCGTACGTCCTCATCCAGTCTGATCGCAGCACTTCCTCTGCGCTAAGACGATCACCAGGTTTGAAAACGAGCATGCCCTTTATCATCTTGCACAGAGCATCTCTTTCTGAATCGCTCATCGCCTCCAGTCCCCTTCTCCTTCTCGGCTCTTGGATCGCATCTTGGAACCGTTGATCAAAAGTCCATACCTCACGCCCCTCCTTTGGCCTCCCATTTTCGCTGAAACGCTTTGACCTCCCCTCCCAAGTTTCCCACCACTCATCCGGCATCGATCCAAGGGCATCGATCTGATCCGCAGTAGCATCATCTGGCCCAAATAACCACTTATCGAGGAATGGTCTCACTCCAAGCATTCCCCATATTACACACCCGAGACTCCAGATATCAGATGCATATGACAGCGGCGTTGTCGGCTCGAACCTTGCTTCAGGTGGACGGATCTGAAGTGGCGTGTAGGACTCAAACCTTGATTCCTGTAAAGGGCAGAACGCCGTACCAAAATCGGCGAGGACGAGCTTGGCTTCAGTGAGGGTGACTTCGTCGCCAGGCTTACCGAGCCAGATCGGCGGATAGACATGGGGTGGAACACCTGGTGAGAGCGGTTGTCCATCAACTCTGACAATAGGTTCAGGTTCTGGCGGATCAAATTCTTCGTATAGTTGCTCGGCGGAAAGATGATCGAGACTTGGCAACTGGAGAAGGATGTTTCCCATATGAACGTCTACTAACCATTAGAGATGGCCAGGAATGACAAGTAGGGCCAAGTAAATGTACTCACCCCCGTGAACATAACCCAGTTGATGAACGTACGCAACTGCTATAGCAAGCTGGGCGGCAAGTGATCTGGCGACGCATAGCTGGAACGGGCCAGAGCCTGGCTCCAAGACTTCGGCAACGTTGCATCTTGCCGGCGCAATGACAGCGCATGGATGTGTTCCATTTGGTCCGTTGAGATTAAAGCGATCCAGTATCAAAGGGACCAAACTTCCGCCAAACTGTACGCTCTCGATGGCTCGAGCGGAGAATTGGCTTAGAATGTCGACCTCTTGGGAGCTGTGGTCCGCCGTGCCAACTTTGATGGCCACATACTTGGCCAATTGCTCGTCTCGCGCCAGCCAAATGGTCGAGTAACTACCAAAACCGAGCTTGTGTACAATACTATATCGGTCTTGAAGTCTCTCCCCAATCTCAATGGGATGATAGCCCCCCGGGCGATAGAAGTCGAGTCTTTCGACGTCGTCGATGTGCTTATATGGTGAAGTTGGCGTTGTTGAGGCGGTCGACATTGGGCGTCTGGTTCTGTAGCGTGAAGTTGCAAAGAACGATCGAGCGCTCGAAGTAAGCCCTCGCCTAGAAATTCTAAGAATGTTTGACTGACACATTCCCACGCCAGGGAGGGAGGTTGGTTGATGTTTGGCTGCTGATGAGCGCGTGTGTTTAGGTGTTGTTGGTCAGCCCAACATGGGATCCATTGGAGACGGTAGCTGCTAATGGTAGGCCAGCGGGGTCCAGCGGGTCTCAACCGGCCACCCATCAGCCACCTTTACTACCTATTTTCGGAGAAACTGCTTACTAACTGTGGTTGGTCCCCGACAGCGATGTTTCGCACCACTGATTGGTCTAACTGGAAACCCATACGTGCTCAATTGAGAGTGTTGCATGTGAGGCCCTGTACGTATTGGAGAAGAACACATGATTATGACAAGTCAGCCTAGATTGGCGCGCGCTTCTGCAGCATTGTCCCGCCCCATCGATTCAAGCCTAAAGTAAGCGGTTGAAGCGATCAAGGCATATTTAGAGGACCTCAATGTTCATTTAAGATATATGTATTCATGGATGTGACGAAACATCGAATTCGTTCATCCAGGATTTAAACCAACATGTCCACAGTCAACACCGTCAAATATTACTTCCACAAAGATCATGTTCCCAAAACTGCAGAGCGGATACAACAGTTGGTAGCCTTGGCATATCAGACCGCAAGAGATAAACAGCTTTATCCACGAGCAGTCTTTATCCGGTAGGCACTCTCCACATGTTCCTTAGGACATCCAGCGAGCAAATTACGAGTTGATTCTGATGCTAAAAACTATCAAGATCGGAGCTTCATGACACAACTTCCATCAATGGTATCCATCAGCGAGACCCGAAGGGCCTTCATGTCACTCTCTGCTACAAAGATGAGGAGCAGCTCCGCAACAGCACACATGTTGCCTGTCACGGCTATGTGAAGGACGCGGAGAGTATGACATTCAAGGAGGCCACTCATGCCGGAGAAAAACCCGACTTGACCAGAAAGAGAAACAAAAATCGCACTCCTGTTTGGCCGTCCGCGGACGAACTTTACGCTGCGCCCGAAATTGGTTATGGTCACTGGGATTAGTTGTAGGAAGCAAGCGCCTCAGGCACCTTTTAAGCGCTTAGAAAGACTCCTTCATACAACGGCATTAAGTATATAGATAGATTGATAGTGTTATCTCAATACTGAAGCCAATGATAAAACCCCATTTGTACACTGTCAAGGCCCTCAAAGCCTGTAGATACAATAACATTAACATATGTATCGACGATGCTATGGCCACCGTCCTGGTTGACGCAACATTGGCCCATTCTCACCATTGACATGCCTGTCTATGCTCACGCGTTCGAGCATTCACGGTGTCTGATTCGGCTCTATCTGAGAGGGGCAGGGGGTTCGGTCTGGGCCTCGTATGTGACGCCTCATGCAACTCCATATCTCTAGAGCGGTACGTTTCTACCGCCTCCCTACGAGCTTACCAATCAAAGAATGGATGAATGAATGAATAATGAAACCGGCCGGACCTTGTTGGGTTTTCGAAGTTTCCGTCAAAGGTGTGGGAGAAGCGAGGGTCTTAATTGATGGAAGCGCGCGAAAATGAACACTCTAGATGCTTCAACCATCTGCGTGGTTGCGAATGGAGGGCAAAATGCCGTACTAGATTTTGAGTGGGGAGAAATGAGCTTCACCATGCACGAATAGGCGAATGAATGAGCTGTGGAATAGAAGGACGAATGCATGTATGGATACATGAATGCATTTGCGGGTAAATGGATGGATGCATAGATGCCTGAAGAGGCATCAAGGCGTAGTTGTCGAATGAATAGATGGATAAATACATGTAGGAAACGATAGAGGGGTAGTGCCTCGGGCCTATGTATATCCGTCATAAAACCTGTAGGTTTTGGGAATGATCAGGTGTCAACGCGGGGTGAGCAAACCCAACCATACTACCTGCTTTCCGAGAAAAACCTGGGTAAGCTTGCGCGCTCTCTCGAGTTTCGGAGGAGAGTTCTTGTCAAGTACTTTCATACTCTATGTAACTGCTTTCCTTGAAAAAGTTCTTCGAGGTCCCCCTTCTGGCCTCTATCACCATCCAACGCAAGACTGGACGCGAAAAACGTAAGACCTGCGACAAAACCACGACACCTCCTTGACGATCGATGGAATGGATAAAATTCGCACGAGGACTTCCTCAATCAGACAGCTTGTTAAAAGGTGTCAGAAAGTTGTATATACACTTCATCGAGTGAGCCGTCTCAGCCTAAAACCTAGGCGGCGGAGTTAGTAAGTACCACTATAAAGCAACTGTCCAGTATTAGGCTCTCGAGGAAAAAACATGTCCCTATAATCAGAAATCCTGGTATTTAACTAATAAGCAAAACCGCGTCTTCACTATTTGTGTATTATAATGTCACGGCACTGGGCGTTGGTCCCCAGTGGGCCCAAACCTCAGGCACCCAGTGGACCCCTTAAGGGTCACGTGACCTCTGGACCGCTGAGCCCAAAGGCCCAGCGCCCCAGAATCTGCCCACTGTTCTGTTTCTTCCCTCTTCACGTTGAGTTACGTCTATTAGGTCAATACAGCAGCGTTCAGACCTGCCTCGAGTTCCCTATCGTGACAATAAGTGACCGCGGTATATACATAAAAAGGAGAAAGAAAAAAGCGATGTCTATACTATGGTAGGAAGAGATCGTTAAATAATAAGTGTCAGACTGCCCCAGCACATTCGCTACGGTAATTATTTCACCTCGAGCGAACTGACTTATGCTTAACCAGAGGTATGAGCAAGGCTAGCAAGGGTATCCTTATACAAGGGGATCGTACACTCATTATATAGATATCGAATTCCTTTCCATAGCCATCCATTCGATATACTCATCAATACACACAAAATGACCCCTGCCTGTCTGACTGCTGCTCGACAGTAAGTATCGTAATGACCCGGCTTAAAACAATTGCATCGACCCACATCCTTGCGACAAGCCAGCAGGGCAAGAGGTGGTGCCCCCGGGAGGGCGCAGCACGCGCTGCATTGGCGATGTAGAATAGTACGGCGGCACCTTTCTGAGAAGGCGTCTCTTCAGGTGAAGCAAGACCCATCTGAACTTCCTTACGAGGGAAGCACTCATACAGCTCTGCGGATCATCCGATTGGACGCCCATAGCAGGGGCGGACCGCGTCAAGCCCTGCGTGTTGGTCACATTGCATCCGACCTTTCAACTGGCTGAGGGCGGTCGTAGCCAGATTTCCCCCGGGTTCTGTCCCCATCGTGGCTCGTCGAATTCTCGGCTAGCTACCATCTGATCCACGGACGCAACGATGTGGCCGCCTCTTGCCGCCACGGTGACTGGCATCCACATCGATGTAACTGTTGGTCGAGCCTTCACAGCAGCAACAAATAAGTCAAATGATCGGTAGGCTACAAACAGACAACCATTTGGCAGCGGAGTCTCGATTGCGCCGTACTTGAGCGAATCGTATTGTTCAATTTTGACTCCTCTAGTATTGCTTATTTCTGGCTAACGTCCTATGATTTTGACCTTGTCCAGCACAGTCGGTACCTCCGATCCACTGCTAACGGAGTACCCGCATCGTGCCAATTCGGATGTCCTCGGCAAATGCGTGGCCGTTTGTTGGACCACCAACATTAGTGCGAAGACCTCCGACGCCCTTCCCATTCGACCGTCATCATCTCCACTTCTAGGCGGTACGTAACGACCTGAACAGTATGTCAATCAAGGCAAGCCTGGGTTCGGTGTATTCATTCACTTGGGATCCCATAGCTTCCGCATGTGCCTTCAAGCAGCCTCAGTGACGTGTCTACGCTCGAAAATGAAAGCAATCGAATGCATTTTCTGCCCAGTTCAGAGCCAACTTGGAGATTTTCCAGGTTGAGGAAGGTATCAAAGATGTGCTATTGGTATACTATAAGTGATCAAATGCAGCTGTGTGATGTCCACAGGGATATGGGGCATGAGAAGGCGGCTCTGTGGACTTGAAATTCAAGTACTCGCCTCAAGCCAGTTGAACCTCCATCAGAGCACTTGCTCCGCTGCATGCCTCTTGCTGAGTCGGGGCTGCTAGAAGTGACGTGCTAGGTTTCCAAAGGGTCTTGCCTATGGCCGTATGCACTCTTGCACATTGCCATGTAGCTGCGGTCCACTAATGGGCCGCTGGCGCCATTGTTTGATCGTCCAGACGCCTGTTAGAGCACAAGGTCAGGAGGTAGTGTTATGAAAAGGTTTCATTGGAGTGCCTCACTTCCTATCCCACATACATGGCAACGATGGCATGATCTATTCCTAACTCGTCTTTTAACGAAGAAAATCAAGTATTCTGGTTAAGCCTTGTGCATCGCCTGCCATCGTCCCAGCTTTCTCTTGATCCACCCATCCAGGTGTGTAACTGCCCCCAAAGTCGATAATCCAGGCATTGTCATCCTGATCGATCAGGACGTTTTCAGCCTTGGCATCGCCCCAGACGATGCCTTTACAGTGTAGCTGCTTCAGAGATGTACTGATCTGCGTCCTCCAACGTTTCCTCATCTCGGATGTACTCTGATCTGCCCTTGCTCTTGACAGCACTCCTTTTTTCTCAATCCAGTTGAATAGCATGCCCATCAAGTTGTTTCCGTCTCGAACAATGCCGTGTAGGCGACAAATCCATGTATCAGGGGCAGTAGGTATTTGCGCCGTAGCAATTTCGTTCAATGTTGCGAGTTCCTTCCTGGCATGCGCTGGACCGAATGAGACTCCGAAAGGTTTGAAGTGACACATGACCTTGTCGCCATTTTTCGCATCTACAAGGACCTTAGTCGGTCGTCTTATCAAGACGTCTTCGGGGCGATCGTACAGTATCTCGACATCAGAGGGATCGTAGGACCGAGCCCACTGATCGAGATTCCCAAGCAACTCATCGTCAGCAACCACAAAGGGGCTGCACCAGCCATGGTTCTGATTCTCTGCCTGATACGGGTGTGGGACATCGTCGGTGGCATCCAGGCTGCAAACGATGTGCGGGGGGAAAAGATATTGGGATAGAGTCGGTAGACTACCGTTAGGAAGCACTGAAGACCGCGGCGCCAGCTGGGTGACGAGAGGCTCGAACATTCTGGACAGCCAGTCGCACGCATCTTCAACATAGAAATCGTCCTGCTCGTCTTCACAGGCAATACGGAACGCTATTGCGCTGTAGTCCCTTATCGACTGCGTCCGTGTCAACGCAAGGTGTTTGTTCGAGGGACAAATGCTATGCCAAGGAGTACCTCATACCCTACGGTTGGCGGTGTCATCATTGTGGTTACATGATCGATGCAGGGGTAAAGCATTGTGCAAATCCTCAGGCTGGTCTCAATCAAGGGCCATGCCGGCACAACCCTTGTTGTCACTGTCAAGCAAATGATCCTGCCCAATAATAATCAGCAAACTATTCTGATAACATCACAGTCTGTACATCGGAGAGATGGCAGCTCGAAACGGATGCTATTCTGGTGAATTTCCCTGGTCTAACCTATCAAAGACAGACAGCGCTCACTTGCCAAATACCTGCCGTCCCCTGCCGCGCAAGTCTTCGCCTTCGTCATTTAGGCTCTCCGTGCCGAGCCGCCAAGTCCATCCTAGCATAACACGGTTGCAGGCCTCGACAGCTGGGCTATCATTGACTAAGATGTCGTCCTCAAGAAGTTCTCTTATCCGGACATAAGGAAGCTTCTAACAGTTCCATTACGAAAGGCCACCCAATACGAAACAAAGTCAGAGATCAAGATGCTGAACGCTACAAACCTTTAGCGCAGGTTTGAAAACCGCAGTGGTACGGTAGATTGCGGTCGGTTGAAGATTCCGGGGACATGGCTCTGCCCCGCTTATCAATCTCCCCCGTAATCCTTCGCTCTCCCTGCAGGGACCTTAACGAAGATGCAACCAAGCAGTCGAACAACAATATGCTGGGAATACCCAACATAGATGACTGCTGATCGTTTACCATTACTCCCTCTTACACCACTACCCCTCCATATGTTCGCCCTTTCATGCGCCGAAGCCTGTTTTTCGTCACTATCTCGAACATTTAAAGACAAACAAGCTGGGAAAGACCAGTTCTTTGGAGCCCTCAAGCAGTACATCTCACACCTTCTGGCCATATTGAGGACGGTCTCATGCTGTGTAACTTTGATTTATATCGACAAATAGCACATCACAGAGCCTAGTTCCTTCGCAAATCTTTCGCTCTTTTAGTTCTCTAATAAAGTCGATTTCCCTAAAATCCCCCGCTTCCTCTTCTTATTTTGACGGTTCGAACTGAGCAAACCGAGAGGTGAGCGGTGGCTTAAATCCGCCCGCTCGAAGTTTACCACCACAACACCTCTATCCGCTATATTGTAAATACGTAACACGTTGCGTAGATTTACATCGCCATAAACAACACCCACCTTATATAAGTTCTTATACGCCTGGGTAATTGCGTCAATATCTAAGTTAGTTACTTGATTAGTGGAGTCAAACAGAGGCGTTTCGGCCCAACTAAGAAACAAGACATACTTATATACACCGCTGTCGTAGTACAACGGCAGGGTTAAATCTGTCCGTCCCAGGCAGACGGGAACATATTTCCCCTAAATCGAGCGGAGTCGATCGTACACCTCATTCTCATAGCAAAGACGGGCCAGGTCGAGGATCTCGACGCCTTTAGCAACGAGAGTATGGCCATGGGAGGACATCCTGACCTTAAAGAGTGTGCCGATTAAGCTGGACAAGTGAAGCAAAACGACGTCAGCATCACGACTACGGTCTTTAGCTAGTTAAGTACGGATAAGTCGGAGGAAATCCAATCGGTTTAGGTACTAATGTCCGTGATCTTAGAAATTTGGGCAGCGTTCATCCAGGGGCCAGCCGTTCACTAATCCAAGCAAACATTGCGGCGTACAGAACTAACGATCCTTTATATTCAGCTGCTTCCCTTGGCTATGATGGCGGTTCTCCTGTGCCTGTCTACCGGCCGAGCCCGCACTCGACTTCGCGAGAGCCTTTTCGCCACTGATAATCGATCGTGTCGGCGTTGGTGTGGGAGGAGTTCCTTCTTCATCGTCACCGCTACCACCCCGCTGCTTTGCGTTGCTGTCGAATTGCTTGCACCGAGACCGTGTTTGAATCGGCGAGCGTTTGAACCTCGCCAGCGTTGAGGCTTGTACGGAGAGATGCGCGCCTCCTTACCCTTGCGCACTGTTTCGGGTATGTTTCTTAGCACACCGTCGTACTCTACAGCTCAAGTGCCGAGACCTGCGGCAGTATCGTGCCAGGACTGTGGAGGCGGGTCAGCACGCAGAGCCTGAAGGCAAAGACCTGTGCAACAGCTGTACCATGGAGCCTGTTCTCGTCGTCGTCATCATCGAGAACATCCAAGTGAGGCACACGCACGCAATAGCATACGATGGTGGGATCGTCCGGAATGTACAGGAAGACGAATGCCTCTCCTGTGCACACATATCCATACTGGATGCTTTTGCCGATCATGTAGGAGAAGAGCTGGGTCACGACAGCGACAACGAGCGGTCTTGACACAAACCCAAAACCCTCACCGTCCTTGTTCATGACGTCGTGTCCGGGTCTAATTTCCGACTCCAGACTGGTGACGACCTCATCGCGTCGCGACTTATGCGGGGCCTTGCACTCAATCGCCAGGGCCGAACTATTTCGGCCGTCGGAGGTGCGGTATATGCAGAACTGATCAGCCCGATTACCCTTGCCCCTAGCTCTTCGTTGGGGCTTGCGGCTCGGTAGCCTTGTGGGAATTGCTGCAGCGTCGACATCATCCCACTCGATGGACATTTGCTCCATAGGCTCGGATAGGGCTTCGTCTGTCTGACCGAGGTTCGTTTGGCTCTCGAAAGTCACGGTCCCTTGCAAGCCAATGTCACTTCGGAGCTGCGTGTCACTATATGCCTCGCTGACCAGCTTTTGAACCGCTTTCTCTACCGTATCGCGCTGGAACTTCCGGAGGCCAGTCTCACTACTGATCGGGCTGATCAAAGACATGACGTGGTCTAATTTATGCGGCGATGGAAACACAGCCCTCGAAGCAAATGTGCGGGAATTTGAGAGTTGATCCCATATCTCCTGTTGCCTCGTCGCGAAGTCATCCCATGGAATGATTCGTCGAGGGAAAATCCGGCCTGTGGGGTTGGTTGTATCGCCTTGCGTAGTCAAGGTGCGATCGGTCACCACCTCAATGGCGAGGCTGAGCGAGTGACAAGATGCGAAATACGTTGGAAGGGTCTATGGTTGTGCCGCCTTCGCGAGTTCTTCAGCCTCTTCGCGTCGGTGTTGTTCTTCCTCGCGTCGGCGCTGTTCTTCCTCGCGACGGCGCTGCTCTTCCTGGAGCTGTTTTCGTAGTTTTGCGATTTCATCCTCCATTGCGACTCGGGAGATGTGTGACAGGAAGAAAGCAATTAATGGAATCAACCCTTGAGTCTCGACAATCTGGATTGTTTGGATGTACTTCGTTATATTTGACCCATGTCGCCCCGACAACAATCGTGCCCCTAACTCAGAGTCACGTGATAGAGACATAGCAAGCTGACTAAACCTGTCCCTTACACTCGGGCGACAGTGGTCCAGGACAGTGGCTAAGCTGATGTGCAGACGCGGAACCGTGTCCAGGCAAGTGTATTTGCAGAGGGTCCTGCGGGACGTCGTTGCGCCTTTGCCCGAGAGCCTCTCCACTGCGAACTATAAGGACGTCTACAGCGCAGCACTTACCACGCAGGCCACTGTCGGGCTCTTTCTGCTTGTCGAATGCGAGGAACTCAATTTCCAGGATACCTCATTCCTCATCTCGCACGATCACCGACTTGCCGGAATTTACTGTCACTACGCCATGGTACCCCTTGCTCTCGATTCTGGTTTTGATCTTCCATCGGTCAGTTGCCGTCTGAAGTCCGATCTCAAGTCACTTCGCTTCCAGAAGCTGGCTTGTCCCAAGATTTTGAGTGCCGTTGACTCTCGCAATTATGTCGACCCTGTTCTGACGGATGGACGTCACGGGGCAACACGGGCACGTTCTAGAACAACTCCTCATTACTGTGGGAGTGCTGTGGGTAAAAGCAGGAGGGCATAAGCCTTTACTCCTGGAATAGACAAAAGCCAAGGTGCAGAGATGACAAAAAGCTGTTCGTCCAATTACCATAGAGGGCGAATCGCCTTGCATGAACTTCAGACCAACGATTCATGGTTTTCGACCGTATCTCGCACACCACCGTCGATCAGTTCGTCCGCTAAATGGCACGCGGGCAAGTCTATAAATAGCGGGCGACTGAATTTCGCTACGTGCCTTCATAGACAAAACGGTGACGACTTCCAATTTTCTGAATGCTGCAATTGTTTTGTCGGAGCTACAGGTGTTCTAGTCTGGAATTCAGCTGCCAAGTAAGTACAGTGACAACACTTGAGTGGCTTACGGGTAAGAGTCACCAAAGCCTTCGGGCTGCAGAAGCGCCCACCGGCTTCGAGGTCCCCATAAACGGGATGCTTCGGTGTGGGCTACTGGTAAGGCCACCTGGGTGTGGAACCTTCCAATAGTAGCATGGCCGGGCCGGGCGCTTCGGGGGTCCACAGACGGGACATCGTGTTCCGCATCCGTGCCACCTACCAACCTGCCGCTGAGAATCTCCCAAAGCGCCCGTCTGCGAAACGCTCACAGCCCAGTCATGCTTCTGGTAGTTGCATCGGCTCCCCGTCAGCCCGAGTAAAAGTGAACAGAGCCGCCGCCGGCGGATAGCTCCTCAACCGGCGCTTGCTGTGCTGCTGTCAATGGGGCTTTGTCCTCGGTGCCCCTTCAAAGTGGTTCAGACCTCAGGATCACGAGTTAGCATCTTGTCGCGTTGAAGACACAGGACAGAGATGTAAGAGGCAGTTGTGTATATCTATCTATGCGTCAACACTAGATACTCTGTGTGATCTAGACTAGGCCTAGGCTTCTGTCCCTTTAGCCATCCGTCTATGCTTTACCTTCTTTGATCGTCTTTGCATGACCTGGCCTGATGTCCTCAGCGACACGCCATGGGAGGTCTGTACATGCCGTCTGAACGCATCTAATGTCGCAAAATTTGGGTCATCCTGGCATTGAGGATGGTTGCACCGAATGAGATCGCCACGTTGTACAGCACGCTCTCGTTCTCCCAGATGCTGGTCGTCAAAGTGGTCATTTCTGACCGTTGGCCGGCAGTACCTGAACGTCCGTTCTTCTAGTGAAAGCCTGCAATCCCCAACACAATCAGGGCACTGATTCGGATCAAGGAGTAGTGGGAAGGGCTTGGGTTGAGGAGTCTCTCCGATAGGTGGCTTGGGTTGGGGATGGGTGCGGATGCGGTCTCGTCTGACCGTCTCCCTCTTGTCACAAAGTGTGACCATCAGATCGATAGCCTCAATCCAAAGCTCCATGAGTTTGTCGTGAGAGCAGTCGACTGGTTGGTAGCAGAGGATGTAGGCCAGTCTGGTGCGCTCGGGAATCTGAAGGTTGATGTCCGGTTCAGTATACTCCTCGTCTTCTTCGCCATTCGCTTGCCTCTCAATATCCCATGTTGGGCGGTTGTCGAAATGATATTCGCGATACTCTTTCACGACACTCTTGTCGCGTTGATCCCGCTTCGTGCGTATCTCCTCTGTTAGCCTGCGGATTTCGGCTTCGTTCTCTTCACCTTGCACTCGGTATTGACCACCCTTCAACTTCTCTCGCCGTTGGTCCAGCTCCAGAATTTCCGGATCGGGAGGCAAGTTCTCCCAGACCTCCTTGGGGACCATGTCTCTTGTTGCCCGGGGATCGCGCGTGAGGCTGACATGCGCAAACACCTTATACATCTGCTCCTCGGTTTCCTCTTCTAGGAAAGTATTCTGGAGGTCGAATTGGACGTTCTCGTTGAGGTATGCGCCTTGAAACGTGGCAAACTTGGGATCGTGGCGCATCATCTGGTCGCGCACGGCATCAGACGCATTCCCTGTGGCAGAAGCTGTTAGTGATTGTGGCCCTCGGCAACCGCTACTTACTTCAACCCACCATTTGCTGCATTCGCCGCCCCTCTTCGGGCGAACCGTGGCGTCCAGGCCTTCTCGAACCCTGCATCAAGGCTCTGTCGGCCCATGTCGTCCCGTAATTTGGAATAACTCATGGCCTCGTCGACGGTCAACGCTCCGCCGCTGAGCTTTCGAAAAATCGGAACCTTGAGCATTGACTGCTTCCACCGTAAAGCCGTAGACTGGACTGGGCCCCTGACCTCTGCTCTTAGTACCTGGGTCGCATCTGTCAGGCTCGCTGCGTCGAAAGCTTGGTCGTGGAGCGCTAGAGCGATGATGGTGCTGACGGCACAGAAGATGAGCTTTCTTGCAGGCGTAAAGAAAAAGACAGTTCTGTCCGTAGTCAGCATTGAAAGCCCCAGGAAGAGTTAAGGCCGCAGCGCTGCGCATACTCACGGCCTTGGCTTATTGTCAGCTCCTTTATGGTGGATGAATTTGACGGCCATAGCTGGTACGGCTCGTCCCGTCACGGGATGGCGAACAATCATCATGAGTATGTCCTCGTAGCACAAGGCTTTTGGACGCCCTCGCCCAGTTGTTTCCTGAAGCAACAGTCTGTCGAGGAGAAGGGAGTCTTTATCTTGTGGTAGTTGGTCGTCATAGTCCACGTTTTCTGTGTCTTTGCCACACTCATGATCGAGGAACTTGACGCCTTTGAGCTTGAAAATCTCATCCGTGCATCCGTCTTTGGGTTTTTTCCTTTCGGCATGCACGATCTCGGCAGGTCTCACACCAGTGTAGCAGAGGAGCTGGTAGCAACCAGCCAGCTGAGTGCGCTGCCGTTCTGACGGGAAGATACCAGTATCATACGCAATGTTGAACGTCAAGATGGCCAGTAGGTTATCGGCTCCAAGGACTGGCTTCCCGTTGATGTTAGGTGCCCGGTATCCGAAGCGGGGAATCAGGATTGTGTGGTGAAACTAGCCCAGCCCATGTCAGCGTCGTTGTGGAAGGTGTCGATCGCCGCATATGGTAAATACCTTGTAGAGCTCTTTAGCATCGTTCCTGTCCAGGTAGCGACCGGTGACGGTGGTGTATAGCTGCTGAAACTGCCGGATATATACCTGCATCGTACCCCACGATTTGATTTTCCCTATCGACCACTCGCTGACCCGGAGAAAGAAGCTCATCATTGTCTCGCGAGTTACGTTCTCTAAGGCCGCTTGCCACTCGCCGAGGGTCTGCTCTTCACAGTAACTATTGTTATAGAGGTCAGTCAACAAGGAAACAACCCAGGGCTTCTCTCAGCGAACCGTTTCCATTTTCTACATACGACCGCAATATTGATCTCGGTTTCGTCTGCATATCTTGGCTTGATGAAGTTGACGTTCTGAAGCTGCTTACGTAGGTCGGCATGCTCCTTAGCCGAGAAAGACTTCGGCTGGTTCGCGATCCGACGTTGTGTTTCTTGGTCGGTAAATCGCTTCAGAAAGTCTGCGCTTGCTTTCGTTTGTCGAGGGCGACAATCGGGGACCACTGGCCGAGGCATGACTGGGGGATAGTCGCTCGTCGCATCAGCAGGAGAGGAGCCGTGGTCGTGTATTGAGGCGAAAGAATATGAGAGAAGACGGCGGGCGCGATGCCGCTCTTTATGGCGGGCGGCGCCATATCGTCATGCGAAGCCTCAGCAGCCTGAGCAGCCAGAAATCGCTCCAGCGAATGCCGGAGAGCGAGGGAGTTGAGAAGGGGCAATCGGTAGCATGGCAAACGGGCAGGGTAGAAGAACATGGCAGCCGCTTGGACCAAAACAGCAGCGTGGGGCGCACTGCCTGCCATGACCAGGGTGCCGGCGTTGGAGACAGCAGATCGAAGTATTTAATACCTGGCAGTGTCCGCCTCTCGCCCAGGTCCCTCTCACTGCTAGTGCCGCGTAAAACGGGGCGATCTAGAATCTTTCGATATCGTCGATCGACTTGGGCATGTACGGTCGTATATCGCGTTAGCTCGGACGTACCCTCCCGGACAAGCTGAAACGTATTGGAGGGATGCTCTACGTCTTAACGCAGGTTACAATCCATCAGAGGAGGAGGTTTTCACTTGTGCCGTTATTTACCTACATCTAAGCTGGTTGAGCTACTGCTCGGGTGAATTGGATGGAGCACGAAACATGTCCGCTTGTGCAGAGAATATTCTTTGCAAGAGAAGGCCTGAGTACCTGCTGCCAGGTGTTGGCACATATTTATTTGATGAAATTCAGTGTAAAATACAAAGCGCATGTTTGTGAGGCGACACAGAACCACCTAATCACTAAGGCGCTGTTTCAGACGTCTTGTCTCCGTCGTTTCCTGTACGCCCGCGCCGCGACGAAGCGGATCGTGAACGCCTCCGTCGTGACTTTTCCACTAGGAATAAAAACTCATGCCCATCAGGCAGCTCGCCGAGGGGCCAGTTTCCATCTTCCTTAAACCATGCAAGTGCCTCAAGGGGTTCACCGTGATCGACATAGAAGTTGGAATCCACACCAGATACCATTCCGGTAGTATCGTCGGAGTGAAAAATACTCCCGCAAAGCTTCGCGTCTCGTATATAATTGATCGGCGAAGCCTTCAATACGTCAGCGGCATGGCTTCGAGCAAAGTCCATCGAAACCTCGGAAAACCGAATATCTGAAAACCTAGTCAGCGAAGAGTTCGCTAGGAAAGTTTTAGCATATACCTCCGATTGCCTTCGCAAGGGCTTTACACGCAGCTGGATGGGAACTCATAATCCCAAATACATCGTCGTCGTCGTCGATCAAGGTTAAGAGGAGGGTGGTTGCAAGCCTTTGTTCACGGTAATCGCTGTGGACTACTAGTTGAGTGACCCAGCAGACTTGACGACCCGCATGCTCCCAGCGACATGCGAAAGCATTACCTGCCAGGACTCCATTGATGGTTACAGTGACGTATGTGCTGCTCGATCCGTCAGGGAGGCATTGTGCTCGAAGACGGTCTGCGCTCATTTTCACGCGGCTTCCTTTTGGCATTTTAGCGGCGCACTCATAGACCAGAGACGAGGATATATTCACCAGGCTTCCCAGGTCCCCTACTACCCCAGACGCCGTAGTTTTCGCTGAATAGTTTCGCTGCGTCCTTCAACATGGCCTTGGTGACCTGTTCGCCATTAAAGTTGCTGACAAGCTTTGCCATCGTCTCTGTGGATGTTTTCCTTCGTTTTCGGCGAGGCTCGTCTATTTCGAAAGTTTGGACATCGACAATATCAGAGAATCGCAAGGAGGCAGAGCTTTTTGGCGCCATTATTGCGCGAATATTGCTGGTTCTATGGGAGTTGGTGCGCCTGGGGGTGAGGTGAATATTCGGAGCTTTCACGCCGCACAGCCTTGAACATACTTGGCAGGCGCTTCTGCTACAAACCTATTGGCCTATTTCCTAAATGAGGGGCATATTACCGCCGCCAATAAGAGCGGGGAACGAATCCTCCCTAGCTATTGGTGGCATCCTTGAATGTGGGGCATTTGCTGTCGGCTGGAGTCAGATTCTCACTGTTTATTGGCGGATTCCACAGATGTGGGGCACGTGCTATGCTACCGCACCTCTTCCATACCTAATCTACGGAGTGCTTGGCTCAGGTATTCCACAGGGGCCCCTGGTTCTTTAGAAACAATTGGCTGAACCAGCTTCCATGTGTTTATTAGAATGCTCGTCCACGAGACTCACTGGCATCCATGTCCAAGGGTGGCCAGGATAACACCGGATCGACTTCACACGTCGATTCACCAACAAGACATCCTTTTAATTAGCGGTAAGACAAATGAACCCTGTTATGTTCAACGAATACGTCACAGGCCGAATTCAACTTGGCTGGAGAGATAGTACTGCATCATGCAAGCAGCCATGAGCCGATTATACATGCTTCTTCTGCAGACGAATACCCGCTGCATTAGTCGCTTGATTTCTTGGATGGCTTCTCCTCAAAGTATAACAAGCAAGGCAGCCTTGGAAACCGCTAGGTTCGCCTGGTTCGCCATGCAACGAAGCGATACCATCCATCTCATTATGGCCGCCCTCAAAGAATATCGAGCAATGCACAAAGCGGAAATAAGGGCTTACGGTGCCGTATACCCAGAGATCAGAGACGAGGAAGAGTTTCGTTCGGAGGTATATATAAGAATAAGCGAAACGGTAGTGAACATCGAACTGCAGTATAAGAACATTATGATACCTAAAGCCGAGTTCGACCTGGTTATGGGAAATCATGGACAGAATGCAGTACTCCGACATACTCTCCAACGCAAGCACAAACCGCTGAGGCCAGGTCCAAGAGAAATGATCGACTCATCACCGCTAAGACAATACATCAAACCGCAAGATACGAATATCGACACCCGCGTGCAATAACGAAATAAGAAGGCAAAGTAAAGGGGCAGAAGTGGTGGTGGTCGTTGTTGTATTGGGCCTGTCAGCCATATACACACAAGAGCGTTGGTTGTTAATTCTTGGTTTTTGTATCGGTTCCGTTGAAACGCAGCAGCGCATGGGCATCACAGCACGGCTTACTGACAAAGTGGACATGCAGCTCATGCATGCAAAACAAGGTCGGAGATGTGAGAGGGTTACCCGGGCGCATCCTGTTATTACTTGATTGGTGGTGTGTTAGCACAACTCGATTATCTGTCAATCTTGGAAGTGCCGTAAGGCTCATGCTTATGTAAGGGGTGGGTGCGACACGGGCCAGGCAGATTGGAAGGGTCTATGTACATAAACGACAGTTGTCCTTGATGGGACATATTAAAGTAAATCACTCAACAGTCAACCATACAGTTGCTTATTAACTTAAATCCCTATCAGTATCTCGAACGCCACCAGTCACATTGAACAACATACAGCTTCCACCATGGAACAACGAGAGATAGTCGAGTACCACTTCTACTGCCCGCCGGGAGTACAGTGCGTCCTAGCCTGCGGAAGCAGCGCCTTCATCGGAGAGGTGGATGATTCGACTATCCTGAAGTATCCACTGGAGCCGGGAGGCGATTTGACGCGCCTCGAGCTTGAACATAAGATTCTCACCATAGTGGGTCGACATCCTCGCATTATCGGCCACAAAGGGTTCACAGAGACCGGCCTGTACCTTGAACGCGCAGTCAACGGGACAATCTTTAAATACCTGACCGCATCAGATATTCCCGCTCCCTCTCTTCAACAGAGGTTGGCATGGTGCCGAGAACTTTCCGAGGCAGTCGAACATGTACACTCAAAAAGGGTGATCCATTGTGATATCCAGCCTACAAACGTCTTGGTTGACCGGAATGCGCATCTCAAGCTAGCCGATTTTCAAGGGCGCTATCTCTCTGAGGACGGTAATATTATATTGGATGGATGGACTGGCGAGCCGTGTCGGTATTTTTGTCCGCGAGACGATGAATTCGCAGCTAACTTCAAAACGGATTTCTTTGCGCTTGGGTCTACTATTTACTTTATTATGACGGGACAGGAGGTTTTTTCAGATATTGTTAGTGGAGAGGCTGGGTGGGATGACGAGGTTAAGTCACGGTTTGCACGAGGTGTTTTCCCGCATGATTCTACTGCTTGTGCCACTATCACTCAGAAGTGTTGGATGCAACAGTATAATTCCGCGGGAGAGGTTCTCGAGGATATCAGAGGTGTCGAGCAGGGTTTGGAGTTAGTTTTGAGCTAGCAAACTTGATCAATATCGTAGAGTACAAAGACGGGAATAACGAAGAAAGACTGGTTTTCGAGGCCTATGATTTTTGAGCGTATAGACTCTCAAGTGACTGAAAATTTGCTTTTACATGTATATCGCAACATTTTAACGTAACTATTCAACGAATGTGTACAAAACATATCGGCCCACTCTGTTGCACTTCAGTACATCTAGTTGAACCCCTCAGTCCATAACCGCTAACAGAGGCCGTTGGAGCCTTCGCCTCCTGTCGAACTTAGGTTTAACATTTTGGACAAATATGCCCTGGCGCCCTGACCAAGGAGGTCCCGGTCCACACCTTTTTATACCCTGTGTGTTGGCTTTGGCTGCAAGTAAAGAGGGCGGACACTTCTTTTTCATGCTTCGGAGTGTTGGTGCAGTTCTGCCATTTGGTTTTCGTGATACGTTCCTCACAACCACAAGCCATCTTAGGACGTCTTTCGAAGGATAAGGTATTAAGTCCTGTAGATATATTACATTAGAATACGCTGTGTTTTATAGACAGGCCTGCGTACTTACGAATATAGATATCAAGCTTTAATGTCAACGAGGTTCAGCCAGATTGTGAGGTGGAGAAGATGGAAGTATGAAAATTCACCGTCAGATACTATTATCAGGCCACGGGAGCGAACAGCCTGGAAACTTAATGCTTTTGCGTTTCAATGCGAACAGAACCTCGTCCTGCTGCTGGCATCTTACACAGCCTGTTCGCTGCACATGGTGAGTCTGTGATCCCACGCTGCGATGTGCGGGCAATATGGTGATTGGTACGTTTAAGAGGCTGCGCCAATGTGGCGTCATGAACCCCGCCATCAAGCATCGTTCCAATGGGCGGATGGGGATGATGTTAGCAGAGGTACAGTCAGCAGACTGCAGAACCATCATCGTTGGGAGTGCGTCGAGGGCTTCGTCATATGCAGTGATGGCGTGAGGTTTTGCGATGCTGCTGCCTGTATCACAGGGTACCCTATGCACGCACTTCCCGGAAGGGGCAGGTACCCCGTGCGTCAAGTTGTCAGGAACCAACAAGCCAACTAGGTAAGCCGTCTCTAGACAGCTTCTTTCCTGCAAGCGCAGTGACGATATGCAGCGTACATCTTCGCCGCATTCGACGGCGAACTGATGGGCAAACGCTTTTCGCCTCTATTGGGTAGGTTCTTGTTCCTGCCCCGATAAGAAGCGGGGGAAAACTGGTTTTACCTCGCTAAGCCTGTAGGCTGGGAAGCAGACGAACTGGGTTGCTTGCATACCCTTAATCCTAACTGTTGGTGGTGCCATTTGCCTGGGGCAGCTCCTTAACATCTGGAACCCACATAGGTTGAATGTGGCCTATTGGCAAGCTGCTCGGCCAAAATGTATTGCAACGCATCTGCAGGAAGTCGGAAAGTTGGCCGTACAGTATTAGAGCCTGACTGACTTCGTGCTCAGAGCATTGACTCATAAAGCTAAGCAGAGCCACCAGAAAAAGGATACAGGTGGAGTAATGGGGGGTGAAAGTGTTGATGCATTTCCAGATGGCCTGGTTGCGGGGTGGCCCGGGGGTTGACTGATGTTACATGCCGCCGATGAGGAGAGGAGGGGTACTCGTGCCCGCACCCACTCCAGTGGGTGGGAGTTTTGCGAGTGCCAATTAAAGTGGGTGCGGGCACGAGTAGGTTCACCTGTCCGCAAGTCCCTGCCAAAAAACAAAGAGAAAAAGGACCATCAGCCTGTTCACAGAGTTCACAGCGGCCCCTGTACCCGGACGGGGCTTAGGTTGGGCATCAGCCAGACTATGGACCCACTATTCTGTGATAAGTGTCGGAGAAACGGATGATGGTGGTGCCGTAGCCAAGTTGCCAAGCAAGCCAACAGACCCACCTGCTGCCTCGCGCCTGTTGTCGGGGTAACACAGACCAACAACACCTAAGTTCTACGGTAATCGAAGCCTTTGTTTCTTTCTTTACACCCTATTGCATAACTTTCTGGCCGCGATGGATGATGAAATCGCTAGTCTACGTCAACAACTTCGGGAAGAGCAACATCGACGTGAAGAAGCCGAAGGTCGTGTACTGGAAGAACAACGCCGACGCGAGGAAGAACAACGCCAACGCGAGGAAGAACAGCGCCGACGCGAGGAAGAACAACGCCGACGTAAGAAGGCCGAAGAACTTGCGAAGGCATCACAACCACAGACACTTCAGAAATATCTCGAGTCTTGCCACTCGCTCAGTCTCGCCATTCAGGTAGTTACTGATCGCACCCTGACCACACAAGGCGACACGACCAACCCGACCGGCCGCATTTTCCCTAGACGAATCATTCCGTGGGATGACTTCGCGACAAGACAAGAGGAGATTTGGGACCAGCTCTCGATCTGGCGCTCATTCTCCTCTGAAGCCGTGTTTCCATCCCCACATCAGTTGGAATATGTCATGTCTCTTATTAGCCCGATCAGCAGCGAGACTGGACTCCGGAACTTTCAGCGCGATACAGTCGAGAACGCAGTTCAAAAGCTGATTGATGAGGCATACAACAACGAGCAACTCCGAAGTGATTTCGGCTTACAGGGGACCGTGACGTTCGAGAGCCATACGAACCTCGGTCAAACGGATGACGCCGTATCCGAAGCTATGGAACATATGTCTATCGAGAGAGAACATGCAGCTGCCGCGACATCAGCCTCAAGGCCACCGAGCCGCAAGCCCCAGCGCAGGGCGAGGGGTAAAGGCAACCGGGCGGACCAGTTCTGCATATACCGCACCTCCGATGGCCGAAACGTTCCTGCCGTGGCGATCGAGTATAAGGCACCGCATAAGCTGAGGTGCGACGAGGTCGTTACGGGTCTGGAGTCCGAGATCCGGCCGGAACGCGATGTAATCAACAAGGACGGTGAGGGGTTTACGTTCGCATCGAGGTCGCTTGCTGCTGCTGTTGTCACTCAGCTCTTCTCGTACATGATCGGCAAAGGCATCCAGTATGGATATGTGTGCACAGGTGAGGCGTTCGTCTTCCTCCACATTCCAGATGACCCTACCACCGTATATTATTCTGTACACGTACCCAACCTGGACGTTCGGGACGAGGATGAGAACAGGCTCCATGGCACAGCTGTTGCACAGGTCTTCGCCTTCATCCTTCGGGCCCTCCGCGCGGAACCACCTCCTTCGTCCTGGCACGACGCCGCGGCGGCTCTTGGTACCTGGGCAGTAGAATACGACGACGTGCTAAGGAACATCCCCGAAACGGTGCGCAAGGGCAAGGAACTACGCGCCTCTCCCTATAAACCTCAACGCTGGCGGGGGTTCAAGCGCTCGCCAATTCGGACACGCTCTCGGTGCAAGCAACCCGACAGCACCGCAAAGCATCGAGACGAAAGCGGTGACGACGAAGAAGAGACCCCTCCTTCCCCCACTCCGACTCGATTTCATACCGACGAAAAAGCCGTCACTAAGTCAACGAGGGCGGGTTCGGACAGAAGACAAGCGCAACTTGGCAAAGGAGGTCAGCAACATGGCCAAACGAAGCAGAGTATACAGGATCGTCCATTTTGCACTCCGAAATGTCTCCTAGGACTGGTGAACGGTTGGCCAGTGGATAAACACTGCCAGAACTTCCGGGACCATGGACACCAGCACCTCAATCGACTGGACTTCCTCCGACTGATCCGTATCCAGCTCGCTGAAGACCGCGGCCGTGATGCTGATGCCGCACCGCTTCACCTGTCGGGCTCGATCGGCTCACTCTTCAAGGTGCGGCTTTCCTCCTACGGCTACACACTTGTGGCCAAAGGCGTTGAGAGTCTCGACCTGGACCGCCTGAAGCACGAGAACAAAATATACGATCGACTCCGTCCGATTCAAGGAAGACATGTTCCTGTATGCCTGGGACGTGTAGATCTGAACCTACCGTTCTACTATGATAGTGGCATATACGAGCACGTCTTGTTCCTCAGCTGGGCCGGCCGCCCTCTTTTCGACTCCGCCAATCAAGCCATCAGGGCAGACGTCGTTAACGTGGTAGCCAAGGCTTACAAGGACTTGCACAAGCTGGGCATCCTTCACGGCGATGCGGAGCCGCGCAACGTATTACGCGACACAGTGAGTGGTAATATTATGGTAGTGGATTTCGAGCGGGCAGAGTTCCGCTATCGCCCACCTCTCGGCTCGCTTAGCTCAAACGGTCAAGCCCAGAAGAGAAAGAGGGGGGGGATATTAGAGAAGCGAGGGAAAGGCGATTTTACCAAAGAACTAGAATCCGTCGTAGAACGTGTTTCAAGATGTATAACAACAGCACGGCCAGAGGCTGCTATCCATGCGGCCAAGATGGTGCAACGTATCTAAGGAATGACAAAGAGTTTGGCTAATGTTAAAGAAAACGGACCAAGGAGAAACTATAGCATAGAGATCACCACAAACTAATCACTCTGAACCCATGAATCTCCCCGTCTTAGCGCTCTTTCCTCTCTAGTACGGGACACCCATCCCTCCACCTCGGCCAAAGCACCTGAGGGCGAGTCTCTGTTTGCTAGGAGGAAGGAAAAAATGTCGGCAGGACTGAACTCCAGCTCCGGCACTAGGGCTGCAAATTGATCTGCCAGTCTCCGGACTTCCTCATTGCTGTCTTCTCGGTTGTCCAAGTCAGACAGCTCCTCTTCCGATTGTTGAAACACAGTGTTGAATATCTTTCTGACCACGTCAGCATCTGCAAGCTGAAACTCGATCTTTTTGTCAACGCGGCCAGATCGGATCAAAGCTTCATCAAGATGCTCTATGTGGTTTGTCGTCATGATGAGGACGCGCCCCTCTTGTGATGCGACGCCGTCGAGAACATTAAGGAGCCCAGACAGCGAAACAGTCCCGTGCGGCTTCGATGACCTTCGTGAATCTTCCGATCGGGAGTCAAAATCATCGGCGTCGGATACACGTGATTGGGTTGTACCGACGGCATCAACATCCTCAAGCAGGACAACACAGCGTTGAGGAAGCTCCCTGAACAAGGCACCAAGTTGTCCATCACTCATAGCAGCAAGGCTGAGAACGTAGATGTCCAGTCCGAAACAACCGGCGACGGACATGCTAAGACTGGATTTTCCGGTTCCAGGACGGCCGAACAGCAGGTAGCCTCTTCGGTATGGCAGCCCGCGGCTCGCGTACCAGGACCGAGCTTTGGGGTCGAGGAACGAGCGGACATCCATGAGGAGCGTCTGTTTGAGCTGTTCGTTCATGATAACGGTATCGATCGGTCTGAGGTCTCGGGTGGTAGTTCGTTTCCAGCCGTTATTATAGTTCTCGAAGATCGAAGTTTTGTTTTCAGAATGCTTCAGATATTCGACGCGACATTCTTCCATAAGGTCCCTTAGAACCTGTGAAGAGCGCCCAACGCATGAAACTGTCATTGTGTTGCGTGGAAACAATGATGTTCTGTCTTGCGTGCATCGTAAAGTGAGACGGTGCCCCTGATACCAGAAGTACAGCGGTTCTCCCCAAGGTGTAAACCGAAGGTTCTTTTTAGCCGTGATATCGGGGTGGAGCTGGGCCATGCTTCTTCCTCGTCTGCTTTCTACACTAACAAGCGAGGAGCTGGCATCTTTGGAAAAGGTTTGGCCGGAAACCCATGCATCCAACATGTCGTATGCCTCGTCGGGATCGTGGACATCGGCCTTTGAAGCTAAAGGATGTTAAATATGTGTTACAGGTTTGGGAAGGTTACTAACTGAGGTAGGTATCGACGAATTCTCCCACGGTCCTACACAGGAACTTGCCGCAAACCATCAATATCCCGCAGATACACAACAAACCGGCGTAGCCATCCAAGTTTCCGTTGAGAAGCTGTTGGAGTGTCACGGTGACGCCGGTGAAGCCGGGGAAGAAGATGTCCATGACGGAGAGATGGGGAGAAGGAGGAGGACTTGGATGATGCATGGTGTAGAAAGAGGGTTCTGTGTGTTATGTTTGACAACGTTGGCAACACCACTTGCAGTAGTTTGAGCACGGAACGTCGACAGATTTCTTACATTCACACCAGCACTGACACGGGCCGGGCATGATTAGGACGATAGAACTTCTACGAGAATGGAGGGCACAATGGAGGCTTTAAAGCTCATAGGGATGTCCCAGAATCATCATCGCTCCTCAGTCGGCAATGGAGAATTCAACCCTGCGACTAGTTCCCTCGTCCTTGTTGCTTCGAAGGCCAGCTAACCAACACGACCAACGTACATGAAAAGAACTCATTTCCACCACGAAAACACCCCTATCCCACTGGCCGCAGGAGAATGACCGGGTATCTGCAGGTTTCGTCTATCTCCAGCGCACTACATGACGATGTGTATCGAACTGTGTTGAGTGAGGTGAATGTGGTCCTTCTCTTGTTGACTTGAGAATCTGATTTGCATAATGCAAAGGAATTTACCTGAGCCACTATTGGCTGTGTTGCTGGCAATGCGGAAACATGAGGTGGGTTCACTGGGATCTCTGTTAAAATGGAGGGTACCACAATGCTGCGGTGAATGCAACAATATATGCACCCCAAAGGTGTGGTTAGGCGGTGGTAATGGAGGGTACCACGATGCTGAGGTAGATACAATAATAGGTACACCACAAAGCTGTGGTTAGGTGGTGGTGCGGGGAAGGGAATGAAGTGTACCACAGAGCTGTGGTGGTCGGGCGGACTCGCTACTACCTCGGTATAGATGGCTTGGCGTTTGGAGGAAGCACTGTGGACCTCTATCAGTGCGAGATGCTATCACATCCTACAAGCACATCCTACCTACAAGGGGCTCCATAGAAACCCCCCAGTTTTTTCTCACCGGCTAGGATATTGGCAAAATGAAACAATACGTCTCTCATTGGCTATTCCCTCTCATTTGAAATACCTGACGCCATCCCGCACTCGATGTGATATAACACTAGGATACATTCTTTAACAAGCATGCCCCTCCACAAGAAAGCCAACAGGATAGCTCCGTTTCTTCCATTCCCAAGTTAGTGAACAACGGTCATATGGACAGAGGGCGATCAGAAATTGTAGCACCCACCAGCCGCATAAATAGGTGCTCATATAGTAGAGAGTTGAGGGTTATGAACCTGACTTGCCGCAAGTAGGACATTTAGTACCTGTGATGCCCTTGCCGTGACAGGTCTCGCATTGCGACATTGCGGTTGTCGTGTTTGGATATGGACGGGAAAAAGATATCGGTAGTGATTGTCGTGGAGAGGGAATGTTTAGGAGGACCTAGATATGAATTTAGAAGGTGGGTAATGAAGCCAAGTTCAGCAGAATGTTCGGCAGTAATACGAGGTATTTAAGACCGTGGCCACGTCCAGAAAAGCATTTGCGGCCAATAAACGAGCTTGAGGTGTGTGGCAAAAAGCGATTGGTTACGGTTGTGTGTGCATTAGCGCCGGTTGTGGATTAACTTGCTGTCCGAATGATTACGTCCTTCAGAACTTACACCATGGGTTTCGTTTCCCCCTGAGCAACCTTTTGGCGTCAACAACATAATGTCAAACAACATCAATCAATGCACTTGCTCTGCAACGTTTTCGACAAATGAAGCCTTGAGCAATCATGTTGCAGAATATCGAGTTAGTTCACTCCAATTTGTACGGACCCTACTAACTGAAATTTAGTTTCAGGAGAGCTACATGTCCACCCAGCTTGAGAAATGCCGAGCCCACGCGATAGCCACTAGTGACAACGGTAATGAGGATGACCACCGTGAGCAAGGCAGTTGTGTTGACAAGTGCGACAAACCATCTCCCATGGCCAAGATCTGTCCTCATGAAGACTGCGAACGGACAAAACCTTTTACAACAGGGCAGAGGCTTCGGCGCCACTTTCAGCAACGTGATTTTGTGCACCCTTTCATCATAAAACTGTTAGCTAACGTGAAAGTGCAGATGTCACTTGCGAAGAAGTATGTGTGTTCTGTTTTAAGCTCTTCAGACTGGCAAGCGAGTTCATGAGGCATGTCGAAGTAAACCACAAGCAAGAAAATGGCCGAAAGGCAAACTATATGCAGATGACGTATCAGGAGTTAGCGAGCCATGTTGCCAATGAACTGGATACTGCAAATAAAACAGCAAGTCTGAGGAGCGCTGGTAAGAAAAGAAGTTGGGATGTGGCGGACATGGACGCAGCGCCATCGAAAGCTCGGAGAACTAAGTTGAACACCATGAGTGTACGAGGGATGGACCACACTCAGCATGCTACTGGTACCTGCTTTGTCCATACGGCTTGGCTCTGCTAACATCAGCCAAGGCGTATCAACATTCTTCTCGTCCATGCCATTAGCTACAACCTTCAACCCAATTCAAGATGCCACGGGGGGCACATTGTTGAGCAGCCTGGAAGATATTTCAACCCAAGGTTTTCATCCTGACCTGGTAGGACAAGAAGGGCAGCTCTCTGGCGACACTTACGACGCTCCTCTTTTACAGATGATAAGCTCCATTCCATGTACCGGAGACATGGGCTGGGTCGAAGAGATGATTGGACAGAAAATTTAGGTTAGATGGGAGAGTAACTAAGTATTTCATTTTCCGGCTGAAGCTTGAACGGCGAAATTCACCTTTATTGTTGGACTTTCCATGTTGACAACTTTTCGTACAACCTCGGGAGAATTTGGCAGGGAAATCTTGGGCCAGGCAGCAACTACTTCGTCTGTGGCAAATATGAAGGTGATAGCATAGCCTTTTTTTATTTCGAAGGCTAGCCGTGCATCAAGAACGACCCTAGGATTTACGTCAGTCCGTAAGAGAGATGCAAGGTGTAAACTTACAGGCCCCCATCCGGAAACTTGAGCTCCTTGGGCTTGCAACCCGCTTCGTCGAGTGCCTTCGGGGATATCTCGTGCAATGACCGTTCGCCTTTCGTAGTAGGCAGGACACATAGGTGTGAACCTCTGTAGTATTCGACCCGTGAACCGCGAGCCCACAGTTGAACTAAAACAACACGCATGCCTGCTTCTGGGCCACCCTTCCTAAAGCATTCGATATGGCCAGGCAATTCTTTGTATCTCAACCAGTGCCCGAGGTTGCACTTTTCGAAAAGGGTTTCGAGGATGGATCGAATACGCTTGGAAACGTCAGATACGTGCTTTAAAAAGGGTCGACCTACTTACCACATCTTCGAAAACACGTTGCTGACAGAAGTCCAAACCGTGGGGCGACAAGTACTGGAAGCCCTTCTGCTCAATTTCCGAAACATGCCCACCGACTTCCGAGTCGTGCAGATCAACAAAGCCTTCTTCGTGGAGGGAGTCCTTGGCAGTCTCAACCGAGAAAGTTGTCAACTCCATCGGCACGTAGTGGTCGATGATGTACTAAGGCGCATGGGAACAGCGATGTTGGGTCGCAAAGTTCTGGGTTTGGGCAATTTGGGCGGCCCGGATTATAGTTCAACCGACAGCCTTACTCGGTGGTGAGCCGGGGCCAGGCGGGACCAATAGTCTTTGAAGCAATAGTATGCCTCCGAGGATGCGGGGCCCACTTTTGTATAGCGTAGTAAGAAAAGCGTAATGGAAGTATTTCTACTTTGAACCTATTCGCGTGACCCGGTTTTTTGTTAATCGCCGCTCACCGGAACATAACTTTGAATTTTGTCTGCCACTAAACAAGCGAATCCCCGAGCCGCGGCCCTGTTGTCCTCCTATCCAGGACATTCTCCGAGTACCAACGAATCAGTGTAGCGGCTTGGTGGCTGGCACCGGACGCGAGGAAGACTGCGATTATGCCTCTCGACTCAGAACTACCTACAAGCTTCACTGGCCGGCGTTAACTCTTCACACGGCTATCCAAGCGATGGCGTTTCGGCCCGGCAGCCCTCGCCCCGAGTCACCGCTCCGGACTCCGCCTCAACCTTGCCTCTCTCCCCTGCCGCACTAACCAATGAAACCCCGGTGGAGAGGGCACAATACCCCCTGTATTTCCTTGGTCGTACGTATACTCCCCCGTCAACCACAGTACTGTGGTAACCATGATCTTGGGGTACCTTCCAAAATTGATCAGACCCGCATGACTGCACCAGTGGGGCGATAACATATCTGTACTATGGCAATGATACGGTCACGTTTTATGCGGCCACAGGACTGTGCTTGGGCAACGTGAACAGGGGAATTGGGATTTGCACATTGTCATAGTATGTACACATGCTCATTTCAAAGACCACGGAGGTACATGAGAGATGTTGATTTGACGCGTTGGATACAGGGTCGGCCAAATGGTCTGTAACCTGCTTCGCGCCAGCAATGCACTGAGGCGGAAGCTTTAGATTGGAATGGCAGAACCATGATATTTGTACAGCGCATCCGAGTATTAAACCTTATGGCAATCCGAACGCTCTTGTTTAAACCTATTGACAATATTTTGAAGCCACTTGCTCTTCTGCAAAACCCAACATGTGCCTACCTGCCATTCTTCTCTACAGGACTGCCCGAGTGGCAGTACGGCAACCCGACGGAACGCTTATCACTACGGAAGGCAAAGATCAGCAAGTTTTGTACATCACGCAGCATGGCATACTAGGCGGAACAGGCCAAGTTGCGACATATCTAATGCAACCGGAAATGACAAATGTTCGGGCAGAAATAATTTACCGCTCTATGCATCCCGTGTGTAATTATGTTTGGAAGCTCAAGACTGATTATTGGCAACTGTAAGGACGCCCTCGTGTCTTTGAGTATAGGTCTGACGAGAAACAGACAAGTGAGATTCACATCTCCATGGCAGCCCTTTGCTCAGCTGGCTTGGTTCTTATCCCCTGAAGGATATCGTTGTATCGCAACGGCCTACTTCGCTCGAGCTGCTAGTGAAGTGGTTGTACGAATGGGTCCCTCGGGCCGGGCTGTCGGCAAAGCCACCCAAACTCCCTCCGCTGGCCACGGCTCACCTATCACCTGTTCAATTGATATCGATAATATCACAGAACATGATCAGATTGTCATTTTCCTACCAGACGATCCCACCGTGGCTCCTGTGCTGTCCCAAGCATTCCGAAGCTCAGCCACCGAATTGGTTGCACAGGTTGCACAGCCAATTCCATCTTACACTAACGAAGGTTTCAGTCTGAGTAGCAGACTACCATACGAAACTATTATAGCAGGATTGGGCCCATCCAGCAATGGAGATATAACCTCGACAGTTAACAACAGGGTCAATACTGCCGATGCAGTCCAATTGGGAGGTTACATGAGCGTCTGTGTCCCGCTTCCGAGTAACGATATCTCTCTTTTTCACTCACAACCCGACCAACTGTGTTGCGATTCACGTCAATACCACCCGCCATACACAGACAGCGCAAGTTCAGCTTCGAACTCAAGTTTCGGCGTACACTCAGATGATGGAATAAATGCGCAATTTGTGGATGACATTGACGATAGATGTATTGTCGTCAAACCTCTGCCCTGACCAGTGGCTAGTTTTCGGTTGTGAAAGATGGAGGATGGGACTTCAGTCTAATGCTGCTGTGGATGATCTACGAATTGATTGCAACGGAGCAATACAAGAATATTTTAAAGCGAGCATCAGCCATATGATGAAGTCTGAGGATCGTAAGAAGCATGTGATGCAATGCCCACCAGTGAGGCCCAAACACCGACAAGAAGGAATGTGCGGATGGCGGTTGTAACATGAGCATGGTTTCCTTGCTGCTCGAGTAGCGATTTGAGAGCCTTGAAAAGACCCCTTGCCTTAGAGGAATGGTGAGCTGGGTGTTACCATGTCGTACGCGATGCCTATATCCGTGGCGGTCCGTCCAGGGGCATACAGACACATTGAGGACGGGTCGGAATTTCGTGATGTCATTACTAACAGGCCCTGTACTGCTCAGCCCTCCGTCGGGCTTTCCGCATGAGGTTACATTACTAGAAGCGGTCAGGAGACGTGTAATTCCACAATTCGACTCCGGCAGCTACCCGGCTTCGAACGATGATGCTCTTGTAATGAGCAGCGATAACGACTGAAAAGAAGCCTCAACAAGCCCCACCTTACCAACGACAACCAGCCCTAGCAACGGCATTACCACTCCCCGGCCTACCCAGCCGGGAATGGTTGGTAACTGTGATCGGTTCTACTTCGTCGAGGTGGACGATTCTTGCGCCAGTATTGCGTCGAAGCACGGTATCTCGCCCATCCAGTTCATCACCTGGAACCCCAATGTTGACGGTGCCAGCTGCTCAGGCCTTCGGGCCAACGCCTGCATATGCGTCCGAGTTATCGGGGCGAGGCCGACCCTGACAACGGCATCTCAACTCCTATTCCGACGCAGCCCGGATTGGTTGGAAACTGTATGGGTTCTATTTCGTTAGGTGGATGACGCCTCCGCTGATATTGTGGCGTGTCCTGCGCAGTTTACCATCCGGAAGAACGTTGGCTTCACTCACCCGAATTGAAGCCAAGTTGTCGCAGAACGCTGGCCTTGCTGAGGGGATTCAGACATCCACCGCAGAAACTTCTCACGGCAAACGCAAGCGGACTTGTCCAGCAAGCGAGTTACCACAGAGGCAGAGGAATTTCAACGACGGAACATTGTCACAGGAAGGCCTGTACCCCAGAATATTACATGTCCTAGGACATATCCTCAAGTGCCAAGAGTGGCTAAAACAGATTGTCCTAAGAAACAGATCCTAGGAAGTCACACGACCTAGGACAATCTTATTGCTGCAACCAGCCTAAATACTTCGTCCTAGGAAGGCCTATGCCCTAGGAAGTTGTACGTCCTATGAGGCTCGTCTTATTGCCAGAAGTGGCGCAAACACCTCGTCCTAGGAAGGCTTTTGTCCGAGGAAATTGCATATCCTAAGATACTCCTGAATGACAGAAGTTGCTCTCTGTGCTTCGTCCTAGGAGTTTTCATGTCCTGGGAGGTTGCATGTCCCGGAACACCCTTAAGTGCCAGAAGCTGCTCTCTCCATACTTCGTTCTAGGAAGTGGCACACTTTGGCTGCCGCAGCTCAATACTCATTGCGCCTTTTAGGTATATATTCATAACAGCTACAATGTTCATGACAGGTTTCCAGAAAGCGTACTGGTATGAGAAAAGCAGCAAAGCATGTGCGATATGGTGTATCAGTATGAGAAACGGACCAGTATGGGATAGCAGAGCGGTACAAGAAAGCAGACCGGTACAAGAAAGCGGACCGGTACAAGAAAGCGGACCGGTACAAGAAAGCGGACCGGTACGGGAAAGCGGACTGGTACGAGAAAGTGGACCGGTACGAGAAAGCGTACCAGTATGAGCAAGCGTATGTACAGTACCAATGAAGCATGTCTGATATGGCGTACTAGTATAAGAAAGCGTACTAGTATAAGAAAGCGTACTAGTATAAGAAAGCGTACTAGTACAGTATAACAGGCAAACTATCAGGTACAAAAGGCATACTAGTACAAGATAGCGTCCCAGCACGAGATGCGATATGCTATAGGGCCTGCTCCTTCTAAGAACCCCCCCGCAACCAAACTATAAATAAACTCACAAGAGTGCGGTTGTTCCATAAATATTAAGCTCCCAAATTGTGTTATCCGAATTAACTCCAAAAGTAGCTTGTTCTAAAACGAGCGTGGCAGAACGGGTGTGCCAGAACGGGTGTGCTAGAACGGGTGTGCTAGAACAGGTGTGCCAAAACGAGCGTGGCAGAACAGGTGTGCCAAAACGGGTGTGCTAAAACGGGTGTGCTAAAACGGGTGTGCTAAAACGGGTGTGCTAGAACGGGTGTGCTAGAACAGGTGTGCCAAAACGAGCGTGGCAGAACAGGTGTGCCAAAACGGGTGTGCCAAAACGAGCGTGGCAGAACAGGTGTGCCAAAACGGGTGTGCTAAAACGAGCGTGGCAGAACGGGTGTGCTAAAACGGGTGTGCTAAAACGAGCGTGGCAGAACGGGTGTGCTAAAACGAGCGTGGCAGAACGGGTGTGCTAAAACGGGTGTGCTAAAACGGGTGTGCCAGAACCGGTGTGCCAGAACGGGTGTGCCAAAACGAGCGTGGCAGAACAGGTGTGCCAAAACGGGTGTGCTAAAACGGGTGTGCTAAAACGGGTGTGCTAGAACGGGTGTGCTAGAACGGGTGTGCTAGAACAGGTGTGCCAAAACGAGCGTGGCAGAACAGGTGTGCCAAAACGGGTGTGCTAAAACGAGCGTGGCAGAACGAATGTGCTAAAACGGGTGTGCCAGAACGGGTGTGCCAGAACGGGTGTGCCAGAACGGGTGTGCTAAAACGGATGTCCTAAAACGGGTATCTCAGGATAATCAGCTTCTGGAGCTCTCGGTGCCGACACGTCGTCAAATGAGCAGAAAACAAGGCAAAAACAGAACGCAGCCCAATTTGGCTTTTGGGTTGCAGGGTGGCCTATATTGGCTGTAATCTACTGGTGGGCCTCGCTTCGACAGCAGAACCATGCAATAATATCCCGGCTTGGGCCGGTGCCTTCCCAAGGAGCTGTCCCCGGCAGGCACATGCAGAAAAACCTCCGCTTTTGCATCTAGGCCCAGACCGGCTCTCTCCCAGGCGATAGTTGTTCTATCTCGCTGCTGCGCTGGACTACCGGGTTATTCAAGTCGAGCCCTGTTTCTTCACGCAAACAAGAGACAGATTTTCCGTAATTCAGATTGAGCAGCATGTTTTGAAAACTACATCGTTAAATGTAAAAATCACATTGTCAGGCTTTTGAAACCCCAGATGGAAAAGTCCGCTTAGGAAATTTTTCGGCGGCGACTGATTGCAGAAGCGCCTTCACTATGGGGAATCAAGTTTGCTATTACACAACTATCGCTTTACGAGCTACCATTCTTCATACTGTGTGCTGTATCTTCATGAGTTCTCGCCCCTACCTCCATTAGGTCGCCGCATGGATATTCTTCAATATAGTGTGTCTGTATCTGGACCTTACGACTGTCTACTTTTGGCATTCTATCTTCAGGGCCATGTTGGGCGCCATCTTTTCCAGCGGCGACCCCACTGAGTCTACGCGTCGTAGATGAGGGGCGGTTGGTCGGGACACGGTTTCGTCTACTTGCAAAGTCTAGAGGAGTTCTCATCACAGGGACAGGGTACGTTCTTTCCTTCGAGCTGTCAGCCTTGAGCGGTTGCTCCACAACTGTACTTACCATCTCCGCCTTGGTCTTCGGCCACGATGGCTCATTCGAGGAAGTATACTCATAGTATTTATGCATACGACGGACTTGAATGTATACGTCTGCGCCGTATCGTTGCCTGATTTGGTCACATCGCGATAATAAATTTTTCGCTGCTTTGTCAAAATTTTCGTTAGTCCTGTCTCTCTTTTTGGGGTGGCGTTCATCCAGAGGAGCCATTGTTGCCTGTCGAAGCCTGTGCTGCGATAGATTAAGGGAATGGGTATTGTCGGGAGGTCTGTAGTTATATACCTTGTTTACACCCAATATGGACAATGGGACAACAAACTTGACATTTTGGATGCGTTGGGTGCCAAAATGGCTATGCATAGCCGATCTTTGCATTTCGCCGGATTACGGCCAGGGCAATCGTCATTTTTGACCACCCAGAGACTGAACAGAGAGGGAGAGCCAAAATGGCCATGATCTATTTTAAGTTTCTTCTCGAAGCTTCTGTGGGCGCTGGTGCCGAGGACGTGTCGACCCACATATTCTGCCTGAAAGATGCCAAATGACGCACTCCTCGAGCTTTGGTCACTACCCCCCCAGTGGCTTCGTCCAGTGCCACTAGTCTGGGATTGCTGCCGATAGGGTACGCCATGGTGTCGCTTTCTTCCTTTGCTGATCCGGAATCACGGGCTCAGGGGTCAGCGAACAGAGATTCATCCCATTCTTTACACTCTTCTCTCTTTTCGCACGGACGTCTGACATCTTGGCATCAACACAGTCCGATCTAGCACTGCGGTACCAACCCATAGAAACGTCTCACCGACAGGGGGGCTCCTTTACATGATTTGGAGCAAACATTGGCTTTTGCGTCATCAACGCCAGGGGTCTTAAGTGGGTTGAAGGGCCCGTTCTGGACTACTCAATCTCTGTTGAGGGGATGGAGAGCATGGTTATGTATGCGGTCTGTTCTAAGCTGACGTATATCGTGTTTGCGATGTATATGTGGAGGTCAGGGTGATACTATGGGTTACCTAAAGCCAGGGTAAAAATGAACGAAAGACTAAGATTGACACAAGAGGTCCTATGGTTTAGCCAGGCACTCACTCAGGTGACAAAAGACACCGCCGGTCGTCAAATTGGCTATCTATAGCTTCATCAAATTGAGCGTGACAGGAGCGTGAAGGTACCAGAAAAAGTCGCTTTTCTGATAAAAAAGCCCCAGAAATATTTTACAGGGGGTTTTTTTTTGAAAGGAAATTTATTTCTTCTTTTCCTGATCTTGTGATGGTGGCGTTCTAGTGAGTCCCTCAGAAAACCAGCGGTGTTTCCTATAGCGACGCGGAGGGTTGCGCCAGCGGGCCTTCGTACGCATTGCTCGTCATGAGACTAGCTGTGTACGCAGAAGGGTGCGCCAGCGGGCCTTCGTACGCATTGCTCGTCGTGAGAATAGCTGCGTACGCAAAAGGGTGCGCCAGCGGACTTTCGTACGCATTGCTCGTCGTGAGACTAGCTGCGTACGCAGAAATTTGCTTAAGAATGGCTGCGTACGCAGAGTCTGCTTAAGCAACTTCGCCAAGGCTTAGGT